CAGTCACTACAATACAGACTACAGTAACTATTTACAGTCACTACAGTACAGACTACAGTAACTATTTACAGTGATTTACAGTACAGACTACAGTAACTATTTACAGTCACTACAGTACAGACTACAGTAACTATTTACAGTCACTACAGTACAGACTACAGTAACTACAGTGATTTACAGTACAGACTACTGTAACTATTTACAGTGATTTACAGTACAGACTACTGTAACTATTTACAGTCACTACAGTACAGACTACAGTAACTATTTACAGTCACTACAGTACAGACTACTGTAACTATTTACAGTGATTTACAGTACAGACTACTGTAACTATTTACAGTCACTACAGTACAGACTACAGTAACTATTTACAGTCACTACAGTACAGACTACAGTAACTATTTACAATCACTACAGTACAGACTACAGTAACTATTTACAGTCACTACAGTACAGACTACAGTAACTATTTACAATCACTACAGTACAGACTACAGTAACTATTTACAATCACTACAGTACAGACTACAGTAACTATTTACAGTCACTACAGTACAGACTACTGTAACTATTTACAGTGATTTACAGTACAGACTACAGTAACTATTTACAGTCACTACAGTACAGACTACTGTAACTATTTACAGTAACTACAGTACAGACTACAGTAACCATTACAGTCACTGAAATACAGACTACAGTAACTATTTACATTCACTATTTACAGAACTACAACACTGACTACAGTAACTATTTACAGTCACTACAGTACAGACTACATTAACTATTAGTCACTACAGTACAGCCTACAGTAACTATTTACAGTAACTACAGTACAGACTACAGTAACTATTAGTCACCACAGTACAGACTACATTAACTATTAACAGCAGGGGTGTCAAACTCAATTCCTGGAGAGCCGAAGCCCTGCACAGTTTAGTTCCAACCCTGCTCCAACACACTTACCTGTAGGTTTCAAACAAGCCTGAAGGACTCAATTAGTTTGATCAGGTGTGTTTAATTAGGGTTGGAACTAAACTGTGCAGAGCTGCGGCCCTTTTTGGATTTGAGTTTGACACCTGTGATTTACAGTAACTACAGTACAGACTACAGTAACTATTCAAAGTGACTACAGTAACTACAAAACAGACTACAATTCGGACTACAGTAACTATTTACAGTGATTCACAGTACAATATACAGTAACTATTTACAGTCACTACAGTACAGACTACAGTAATTATTTACAGTCACTACTGTAGACTACAGTAACTATTTACAGTAATTAAAGTACAGACTGCAGTAACTATTTACAGTAATTAACAGTACAGACTACAGTAACTATTTACAGTGACTATTTAGAGAACTACGACACCAACTCAGTAACTATTTACAGTAACTACAGTACAGACTACAGTAACTATTTACAGTGACTATTTACAGAACTACAACACCAACTACAGTAACTATTTACAGTAACTACAGTACAGACTACAGTAACTATTTACAGTGATTGTTTACAGTAACTACAACACAAACTACAGGACAGACGACAGTAATTCTTACAGGACACTACAATAATCATTTGCAGTAACATGTTAGAAATTACTATATTGTTATTTTGTAAATCAAAAAAACTAGACGATATGAATATTTCGTATTCTTTAAAAGTACTATATACGATGAGGGGCTATGCTGAAAAATAACTGAATATGTAAAATAACTGAAAATGTAAAGCACTGATTATATATGATAAATACCCATAACAAGCTACATCCGTAAGCATTCAGGAGAGTGAGTAACATATTATCAAGGTAATATACCATCATGACACTGTATGTAAACCCATGTGACCATTCTAGAAGAATTTAGCAAAGGCAATACTGGAATGTAGACCCAAGCTAGCAGTGCTGAGTGAACAGGGCTGCCAAGAATATATGAATGTATGTATGAAATGTATACTGGGTAAAAAAAACATGAGTAGGAGATAAGTGATGTACCAAAGAAAGACTAAGGACACAGACAGATTTGTCCAGGAGAGACTTCAGATTGCTCTGGGGTTTGCTTATGATGCAAGAAAATAAAGTTTATCTTCTGGTATTGAAAACCTCCAGACTAATCGTGGTTAAATAACGGAAAGACTGGGAACTACGAAAATGTCAGTCATTGTTTATCAAGAGCAAAACAATTAAGTTTGGTTTATAGATTTTAAACAACATTGCCAAGATGAACAAGCTCACCCTAACAGATTTCTCAGACTAATATTCATCTTGCTATAAATTAATATTTTGAATGAGATCTTACGCGAATATATAAGATAAACAACAGATAAACTTGAGAAAGCAACCATAATAACTTTATATGATTCTTCCATCTATCTCTCCTTCCGTCTTCTGAGACTGTTGGGGAATTTTATTGTGTCTTGATGAATTTCTGATGAATGTGTTACTGTCATTTCTATGCTTATTTGAGTGATTTCAGTTTTATTATTATTATTATCTATTATATTATTACTCATACCTGTGGCATTATTATCAGGTGTGTGTGCTTTGGTAAATGAAAAAGTCATTCTGTGCAAATGCAGTCAGAGATGAGAAGATAAATTAAAAGAGCAGCATTAATGTCACAATGAGGGTAGATTTATTGAAGCAAGGCCGAAAGGACACCTGCGTTCTGTTCTGTAACTCATGATAAAGTGCACCTGCACTTGCGCCCACACTCATTTGTACTGACACCTAAAAAGTTATGAGTACCTATGAATTTCAGCTGAACTTACAGTTGACAGCTCAGTGGACAGTGAACAAGATATATTGTTGAGCATTGTTTTTTGGCTGAGTCATCGCTTTTGAAGCAGGAAGGAAAGAACTTAACTGGACATGGGCAAGACCCATGAAAGACCCTGAGATTCTATTGGTGGCGGGCACCTGAGAGATTTAGGATCCCACTAGCGGAAAAGCTGATGGAGGTGTGTAATGTGTAAATTTGGGTGGAGTATTAAGACACAGAAATGTATTTAAACTGTGTGCAAGCCTATGTTCAGCAGACACTCGAACGACCTGTCTCTATTGTTACTGATGCTGTAACAATAAACAGCTTTGCCTAAAGACTTCGGAGATCTCAGACTTTCTCATTTTTTGAAAAGTTTGACTTAGAGACTTAGAATATATTGCAGACCAGGATCTTTTTTCCATAACAAGACTAATTTTAAAGTGTATCTCCTCCTAAGCCTTTCAATCTATATCCTCCAAACTTTAGTCAAACCTTCAAACTTGTCTGACTTGGGTTGCTATATCTTTTCTAATTGATCAGACTTTCAGTTTTCCGGAAAACGACCCAGAAAATTCCCAAAAGTCTCATTGACTTAACATTGGGTCAAACTTAGTAAACTTAAAACTCTACATCACTGTCCTACAGGCTTATAGCTGGGCTCATTTAACTCAGTCTAGCCAGCAGCCAATAACTAATGACCTTTAAACTTACTAGCAAGTCCCTAGCAACCAATTTCAGCACCCTAGTAACTGTTTCATAGACTTCCATTGTAAAAGACTGTCATTAACTTAACATTGGATCAACCTTTGTGAGCTCATAACATCAGACTGTCATACAGACGAGAGTCTGGCCTCATTCAACTCAGTCTAGGAAGCAGCCAATCACTGATGACCTTTAAACTTACTAGCCACTCCCTAGCAACCAATTTCAGCACCCCAGCAACATAGACTGTGACTAGCTATTCTGGCACAGGCTAATAGTTCTAACATCCTACTAACATGCTAATCTTGCTAGAAACATACTAGCAACATGCTAGTGACATGCTAGTCATGCTAACAACATGCTAGAGACAAGCTGATTCATTCCACAGTCATGCTAATGACATGCTAATTCATGCTAGTAACATGCTAACATTCTAATTCATGCTAGAACCATGCTAACAACATATTAATTCATGCTAGAGATATGCTAACAACATGCTAATTCATGTTGGAAACATGCTAACAACATGCCAATTCATGTTGGAAACATGCTAACAACATGCCAATTCATGTTGGAAACATGCTAACAACATGCCAATTCATGTTGTAATCATGTTGACAGCATGCTAGTTCATGCTAGAATCATGCCAACAACGTGCTAATTCATACTAGAGGCATGCTAACAACATGCTAATTTGTGTTAGAAAGATGCTAATTCATGTTGAAACCATGCTAGAAACATCCTAATTAATGCTACAAAAATGCTAGCAACGTGCTAATTTAAGCTAGAAATATACTCACAACTTGCTAAATCTTACAACTTGCTAAATTATGCTAGATTTATGCCAACAACATGCTATTTTCCTAAAATCATGCTAATTGATGCAAGTTATTATCATGCTATTACCAACATCAGACACAGGGAACAAATTTAAATCTTTTACTGGCTTGCTTCACCCTTTACAGTGGTTGCATTGTTGACTGCAGGGATCTTAAAAATTTTTTAGGCAACTTGATACTTTTTCAAACTAAATAAACTACATCCAATAGGCTTTCTCAAGCCACCAAAAAGTTTGCCCTCAAACTTTATCATCTAGTTCAGGGGTGTCCAAACTGGTGTCCTGCATAGTTTAGCTCCAACTTCTTTCAACACACCTGCATGGAGCTTTCTAGTATATTTAGAAAGAGCTTGATTGGCTGGTTCAGGTGTGTTTAACTGGTGTTAGAACTAAAATATGCCGGACACTGGCCCTCGAGGACCGAGTTTGGACAACCCTGATCTAGTTTAACATTATGGTGCAAACATGAGTACAGATTAATGAATGTGTTCAGAGAAAACGTGAAATAAGAATTTAATTGACAGGATTAATCTATGTAAAATATTAAATATGTTGTAGGGTGTAAACACAGAGAGATTAAATATTGACAATATATTGTGCAAGTTCCTAATCTTCAATGTGTTCTGCTGATTGGTTATGAATATGCATGCATCTGTGTGAAAGGGCTTTTAGGTGTGTCTGAGAGTTTGCTATAAATACAGGACAAACCAATTCATAGAGGGACAGAGGCGAACAATCATACTTTTCACTCGGGATTCGTTCATTATTTACGGTAAGTACAAACAAAGAAACTAGAGCATTTTAAATTTGGTTTCAGTTAAATACTGACAAATATTGCAATTTATTGATGTGAATGAGTGTATGAGAAGCATATGCAGTGTGTAAACATGTTTGCATAATCATCTACACTTAAAAAAACTGTACCTCTTCACAGTTGATGAGAATGGCTCAGATTGCAAAGTTGTTTTTTCTCTGCGTGCTGATTGGTTGGTCAAAGGCATTTCCACAGCGTGATGTCATCAGTGAGGATAAAGCGATGAAAGATGCTGAACGTCTGGACAGAGAAAGAAGAGATGTTAAAATTGTAAGTGCCTCGTTTATCTGTCTTGATATTTGTATTCCATATCTTCCATATGTAAAACAATATGCATCACTAAAAATACAAAGGAATCTCCTGTTTAATGTACATAGTTTTGCATTTTAAAGAGGTAGTCCCCCCAAGCCAAAAAAATTACTTATTTACGATTACTGAGTTTCTTCCGTTGAGCCAAAAAGAAGATATTTTGTAGAATGATAGAAACCGTTATCCATTGACATCCATAGTAGAGAAAAAAAAATGGAAATCAATGACTACCACTTTCCAACAATCCTCTTTTGTGTTCAGATTTGGTTGTGTTGTTTACAAGATTGTAAGCTGAGAAAATATTATATATTATTCCTTCTATGCTAATGAAGGACTACTGAGATGTTCCAAGCATGGGATGGGTTCTCCTGGTGTGACAGAGTTCCTCATAGCTCCAATGCACATCTCTGCCATTTGCTTACAGTAACCATGTGCTTTTCACCATACACAATTCATCTGCTTGTGTTCTTCCTTCAGATAACTTTGTCATGTTTGGTGTCATTTGACAGTTTATGACTTCAGTGTTGTAGTCATGAAATCAACAGACACATTGATTGTGTTTCAATGTACAATATATTTACTATTGTTGAGTGGTGGCCTGAGGAGAGTATGTTAATGTACTTCTCCCCCACTTAATCTCTTCAACTTTGCTCTCATGTTCAGCTGGTTTTGGGGGTTGGTTTTTACTCATGTTTGACGATGCTTTGCTCAGGGTATAAGGAAAGGTAACTGTTGATCTGGGAGAATGGCTTTTACTCTGCTTCTCCCGCACACCAGTGCGTAGCCTCATATGCTAACAAAGGCAGTTTCACTGTCTTTGTTGTTCAGCAGTGCTTACGTTACAGCTAATATCTTTATACAGTATGTTAGGTTGTTTCATTCTACTGTCTGTATATTTAAACATGTAACTTAATAAATAACTTTGCCTGATTTAAGACGTAGAGATTTTTTCTCTTTATCAATGATGATAACAACTTTAATGGAGTCAGATTAATTACAATGGAGTCAGATAAATAATGGATTTAAACACGCCATCCTTCAACTGCTTTCTGTTTCCGACTATTGGTTCAGAATAGCAGCGTAAGCTTCAAGCCTTACAAGATCATGCACGGTTTCTGGCTAAATTTATTCAATTTAAATCTGTAGCAATCAGAGTAACATCTAGAGCTGATTGCATTATTTTCTATTTAGGAAAACTTCTTTTGGTCGAGCTGATTTTTCATTAAGACCAGGGGTGTCCAAACTCAGTCCTGCAGGGCCAGTGTCCTGCTGAGTTTAGCTCCAACTTGCTACAACACACCTGCCAGGAAGTTTTCTAGTATATCAAGTAAAAGCTTGTTTAGCTTGTTCAGGTGTGTTTGATTAGGGTTGGAGCTAAACTCTCCAGCACACCGGCCCTATAGGATTGAGTGTGGACACCCCTGATTTAGAGCATCGCATCAGTGAAACTTGATACCACAATCTGTTAGAGATTCATTCATTCATTCATTCTCTTGTCGGCTTAGTCCCTTTATTAATCCGGGGTCGCCACAGCGGAATGAACCGCCAACTTATCCAGCAAGTTTTTACGCAGCGGATGCCCTTCCAGCCGCAACCCATCTCTGGGAAACATTCACACACACATTCAAATACACACTCATACACTACAGACAATTTAGCCTACCCAATTTACCTGTACTGCATGTCTTTGGACTGTGGGGGAAACCGGAGCACCCGAAGGAAACCCACGCGAACGCAGGGAGAACATGCAAACTCCACAGACACGCCAACTGAGCCGAGGATCGACCCAGCGACCTTCTTGCTGTGAGGCAACAGCACTACCTACTGCGCCACTGCTTCACCCCTGTTAGAGATTAATTTAATTAATTAATTCAAGTATTATTTTAAGAAATTGCTTCCCATTAACCTACACTGTGAACATTAGGTTTCAGCTATTGTTGTGTTTTTTTTTCTTTTTTTGTACATTTGTATTTTAATTGGTATAGGGCAGGCCTTTAACATCTGGCAAAGGGACCACCAATGAAAACAAGCCTTTGTCTAATTTGGGTACATTTATGTCCTTGAAGAATGTTGATTAATTTACATTTCTTTTGTTGCAAAATAAATAAACTGAAATTAAATTGAAATTCAACCAACGCTATCTCACGGCAATTCGTAACATTTTGATTTAGGGGCTAATACAAATAAATCGTAGAATCTCATTCATACAATTTAGTATGATTTGCTCATCGCCTGTTAACGGTTGGGTTTAGGGGTGTGGTTTGGTGCCACGCCTTCTTAAAAAAAAACGTGTAAAAGAGTAAAATTTCCTTGTGAGTTCAGGCTGGTTCAACAGGAATAAAAGAAACTCAAATACTCTTGCAAAAAGCGAAGGGTGCGTAAATAATGACAAAATGTTCAACTTTGGGGTGAACTAATCCACACAAGGCTATGGTAATTAATCTAATTTTCACAAATACACTTCATTGAAAATGTACACATAGACATAATCTATATACAGTTGAAGTCAGAATTATTAGCCTCTCTGTTTATTTTTTTCCCCAATTTCTGTATGACGAAGAGAAGGTTTTTTTTTTAACACATTTCTAAACATAATAGTTTGAATAACTCATTTTATTTTACCTTTGCCATGATGACAGTTAATAATATTTGACTAGATATTTTTCAAGACACTTCTATACAGCTCAAAGTGACATTTAAAGGCTTAACTAGGTTAATTAGGTTAAATAAGCAAGTCATGGTATAGAAATGGTTTAGACTATCGGGAAAAATACAGCTTAAAGGCGCTAACAATTTTGTCCTTAAAATGGTGTTTAAGAAATTATAAACTACTTTTATTCTACCCAAAATAAAACAAATAAGACTTTCTCCAGAAGAAAAAATATTATCAGACATACTCTGAAGATTTCTTTGCTCTGTTAAACATCATTTGGAAAACATTTAAAAAAGAAAAAAAAATTAAAGGGGGGCTAATAATTCTGACTACAACTGTATACAACTGCAGGTTAACCATATATAACAACTTTAACTGTTAAAAGCTATTAGTTACTAGTTAATTAAAGTTATTAGTAACTAGTATAGTTTTTTGATTGAATGTGCACCCTCTGTAAAGCTACTTTGACATAATAATGATTTTGAAAAGCACTATACAAATAAACCTGACTTGAGTTATTTTTCTGCTTAACAGGATTTTACTCCACCAACATGCCGTGTGACAAACATGACTTCAGACTGCCTCCCCTCATGTGGAAATAAACCCTTGGAAGTGACGTTTGTAATGTCGGATGGCAAAGGCTCAGGACTCGCTTACACCACAATCTATTCCAGCGGCCTCCCGAGTTACAGCAACATGACACAATATGATGGTCTGGATGAAGCAGGCAACAACGCAACCTTTCTGCATTACTCGGGCACCTGCTGCACTGAAGATGTGCTGATTACTGTGATGGATAAGGCTGGAAACATGGGCACGTGTCCGTTTGTTATAAAGCGTGCTGTCAGTCCCTCATCCAGCAACTCCATCACAGCCGTCTCCCTTTGGTCAACTTTAATATTGATGGCACTTAAATCTATACTGCTGTAAAATGGACTTTATGTATGCTCACTTCATACACATCTAAAGGTGAAGGTCAAACACTTCCCATGATATTTAACAGAGCAAATTCATTTATCACTATGTTTTTTGTTATATCTTTCTTATTTTGTTAAGTTTGGCTGGAATATTTACATCCGATTGGCAACAGAGCAAATCACTGCTGTCCAATGACTTGCCTTTAACCTCAGGGCTTGCAAAACGTCCCAGGAGCTATTATTTTTTCCAGTCGGGCTACCAAAAATGATTCCATCCTGCCCGTCGAACTATCCTAATAGGAGAAAAAATATAGTCAATGCTTTTGCCTTCTCTTACAAATCTGGTAATTCTGTTGTATGTAATTCTCATGTATCGAGGAGCCACTGTCAATATGTGTTTGGCGTTTGCACTATCTGGTGTTGACAAAAGAACCAGTACTTTGGTACTAAGCATTTTTTTCTGACATAAAAAAATGATAAAATAAAGGTCGGCATGGTGCCTCAGTGGTTAGCACTGTCATCTCACAGCAAGAGGCTCACTGGATCAAGTACCGGGTGGACCAGTTGCACTTCTGTGTAAAGTTTGCATGTTCTCCCCATGTTCGCATGGGTTTCCTCCAGGTGCTCCGGTTTCCGATAGGTGAATTGGGTAAACAAAATTAGCCGTAGTGTGTGTGTGTGGATGTGAGAGTTTATGGGTGTTTCCCAATACTGGGTTGCAGCCGGTAGAGCATCCAATGCATAAAAACATTGCCGGAATAGTTGACGGTTCATTCCGCTGTGGCGACCCCTCATAAAAAAGGGACTTAACTGTTAGAAAATTAATGAATAAAAATAAAATAAATTGAAATACATTAGAAATTTATTTAAATAAAAAATTTAACTAAATTAAATGAAAAATAAAGTAAAAAAATAATAAAAATTTGATATGTTCAAAAATATATGTAATGAATGCCATTATAACGTTTTACACTTAATACAAATTACTTAATACAAATTATAATATAGTAAAATTATATATAGTAAGTAATGTCTTTTTCATTCGGGCCACATGAATTTATTTCGGACAACCAAAAACTGAAGAGTGGCTGCCTGAAAGGCTAAGAGGGATTTTGAAATTTGCGAGCAATGAACCTACAGCTGTTAAGCCTTAAACTGAATACAACTATCAAAAGAAAAACAACCAGTTATATATAGAGTCATCATAGTAAAGACAAAAAAAATTAAATATTAAAAATAGTAGTTAAAAATATTATGTTGAAAAAAATCTCTCTGTTAAACATCACTTTGGAAATATTATTATTATAAATTATGATTATATACTAATTTAACTGGGTCCTCCTGGCTTAGTCCACTGCATGTTTGCTGATTCAGGATGAGAATGAGCCACTATGTCAAGCCTGATGTAGATAGCCAGGATAAGTGCACATTTGCTGCATTTCTAAACAGACAACAGGTATTTCATAATTAATCATTTTGCCTTCAATTGTATCTAGAAAAACTGCACAGACAAAAACTTGAAATAATGCACGCAAACAATTTTGATTTAAATGTTAAGTCAATGATTTAGTATTTGTATAGTACATGACAATGTACTATAATTTGCCAAAACGTTTATTTATTGTTATTTTTTAATGCGGTTTCGCTGTTTTTTTATGCTCAAGCATTACAGAATAAAGTCAATCCTGCCATATTTTTTAAGTCTGGACCAATAATAATACTCACAGCAAACAAATACTAGCACATTTTATCAACAAACTAAACTAAATGTACCTTCAAAAGGCTAATAAAATAGTATTTCTCAAGGGAATTGTTATATTGCAAGACACATCGCTTTTGTTACCACAATACTCAACAACAATGCACCCAGTATTAGTTCTAATTTAGATGATTTGTTAATTTAAAGCAATCAAACAACAAAAAAAAGCATTTGCAAAAGTTAAAACTCCCCAGATTGAAAGTGACGAGAGTAAACAATTCTAGTCAATTAGGGAATTAACCTGTTAGAAAACTGACAACACGACACAGCCCAATGCAATAAACTCACATGAATCTTTCACACTACAGATCAGATGGATGACTCAGATCAGCTTTATCTTTAAAGTGCTTATACGGACCAACCAATAAACAGCATCAGGAACAAGATGTAAAAAATGTTTCACACAACATGAGTTGTGTGTAGAGTAAGCAGGGAGAGAGAATCTGGGAAAACGTTTTTACATCAAGCTGATGAAATTTAATATTATTATTGTGATTTTTTGTCTAATGTCTGTGTTTTTATAATTAGTGTTGGGTCAGTTACTTAAAAAGTTATTAATTAATCACATGATTAAAGTTGTATTCAAATTACTTTTCTGATTCCTAATTTATTATTAGTAATTATTGAGAAAAGAAAAAAAAATCTTAATAAAATAAGAGAAAGGGAAAGAGAAAGAAACTACATTTTTAATTCAACTGGACAAGTATGGAGGATGAAACCAGCAAAAAAAATAAAAATAAATAAATAAATAAAAAATTTATTATTTAATTACACAAATTCTTGCATTAAAAGAACAATAAATAAATATGCAAATAAATAAATTAATAAATAAATTACACAGATTTCTGCATAAATAAATAAATACGGAACTAAATAAACAAATTACACTAATTCTTGCATAAAATAAACAAAAATTAAATACGCAAAAAAATAATTTAATGAAGAAATAAACACAAATTCCTGTATAAATAAAACAATACATAAATAAACAAATAAAAAGCAAATAAATAAATGTATAAATGAACACACAAATGCATAACTAAAACAATAAATAAATATGCAAATAAATAAATAAATAAATAAATAAATAAATAAATAAATAAACACAATAATTCCTTCAAAAATAAAACAATAAATAAATACGCAAATAAATAAATACACAACGTCCTGCATAAATAAAACAATAAATAAATAAATAAATAAATAAGCTCATAAATAAATAAATGTAGAAATAAACACAAAAATTCCTGTATAAAACAATGAATAAAAAACAAAAAGCAAAAAATAAATAGATGTATAAACACAAAAATTCCTAAATAAAGCAATAAATAAAAAATATGCAAATAAATAAATAAAATAAATACAGAAATTCCAGCATTAATAAACGAACAAATAATTATGCAAATAAATAAATACATAAATAAATAAATGTATAAATAGACAAATTCTTGCATAAATAAAAACAATAAATAAATAAATTGATAAATATGCAAATATACAAATAAATAAATACACAAATTCTTGCACAAATAAAACAATAAATAAATAAATAAATAAATATGCAAATAAATAAATGTATAATTAATACAAAAATTCCTACATAAATAAATACATAATTAATAGTGCGGTATAAAAATCAGTTTAGCATTTTCTTATTCCCACAACATTCGTGCAATATATTTAATTGTTAATCTTCCTGCACTATATATTTATTTATGCAGGAATTTGTGTTTTTTTTTTAAATATATATTCATTCATTTATTTGCATATTTATTAATTTATTCATTGTTTTCGCAGGTTTGATCCTTCATAGACCAGATTCAGTTTTAAGATTGTAGTGTTACAGCGCCACAAACCAGCCAAGCTTGAGTACTTTTTTCTTTGTCTTTTAATTCAAAGTGTTAAATTAATTTTTTTAATTAATAAGTATATTATTTAAAAATATATATACAGTTGAAGTCAGAATTATAAGCCCCCTTTGGATTCTTTTCTTCTTTTTTTAAATATTTTCCAAATGATGTTTAACAGAGCAAGGAAATTTTCATAGTATGTCTGAGAATATTTTTCTTAAGGAGAAAGTCTTATTTGTTTTATTTCAGCTAGAATAAAAGCAGTTTTTAATTTTTTAGACACCATTTTAGGGACAAAATTATTAGCCCCTTTTGGCTATATTTGTTCTCGACTGTCTACAGAACAAACAATCATTATACAATAACTTGCCTAATTACCCTAACCTGCCTAGTTACCCTAATTAACCTAGTTAAGCCTTTAAATGTTACTTTAAGCTTTATAGAAGTGTCATTAATAAGATCTAGTAAAATATTATTTACTGTCATCATGGCAAAGATAAAATAAATCAGTTACTAGAAATTAGTTATTAAAACTATTATGTTTAGTAATGTGTTAAAGAAATCTGCTCTCCATTAAACAGAAATTGGGGGAAAAATAAACAAGCGGTCTAATAATTCATTGGGGCTAATAATTCTGACTTCAACTGTATATACATTTGTTTTATCTCAAAATAGCAGAACAGAGTACAGAACCAAACATTATGCAATAGTAAACCTTGACCTGATTAACATGACAGCTTATGTTAATGATTTACACATTTATCTGCTCCTGGGCTTAATAAAAGCAAGCCAAAGTTAATTTACACAATGATCTTTTATTGACTTTTTTGTGAAGAGTATGCAACATTGATAACCAATATACCATTTCATTAATTAAGAATTGACAATCCATATATGCATGAAGCGAATATTATAATGAAGAAAAAAATGCACATTAAATGAAATTCAAATTCAATTAGCTAACTAATTACTTTGGAAATTACTTTATGTTTCATTCATTTATTTATGTTTTAAAGCGCTTAGAAACAGTAAACATACTCTTGTTAAATCTAGAAACAGACTATATAAAGCTTTAAAGGTGCTTTAGAAAATTCCCTTCTTAAATATTAAAATACAGCTAAATTAGGAATTATAATATACAATACTTGTAATTAATATCACAATATAGAATAATGTTTTAATTCATAAGCTCTAGTTCTGCCTGCTGGAATGATGAATCAACATGCTATCTGAAGGTCCAAAGATTATTTAAATTACAGCAGTGTGGAGTTTGCATGTTCTCCCTGCGTTCGCGTGGGTTTCCCCCAGTCCAAACACATGCTGTACAGGTGAAGTGGATAGGCTAAACTGTCCGTAGTGTATGAGTGTGAATGAGTGTGTATGAATGTTTACCAGAGATGGGTTGCAGCTGGAAGGGCATCCGCTGCATAAAACATGTGCTAGATAAGTTGGTGGTTCATTCCGCTGTGGCAACCCTGGATTAATAAAGGGACTAAGCCGAAAAGAAAATGAATGAATGAATAATTAGCACAAAATACATTACAGAAAACTGCCTCTAGCAGTATTGAATAGGTCTGTCACAATATTTATTTTTGTCGTACGACGTATTGCACCAAAATATATTGCAATAAATGATATTATTGTCAATTTAAGGCCATTTTATGCAACTTACTATATAACACCAGAATGACAATATAATATCATCACAATGCAAGTGCACTCTTCCAAAGAACAGATAATATTTTATTCATAAGAATATTTAATTTAATTTAATTAGTCATTTTAACAATTTAATAATGAGGCATTGGAATCAGAAAGTGAAAACGTATACACTAAATAAATAATAATAAATGTTAACAAAAAAGTGCAAAGGTAAAGAGTAACAGAGGCTGCGATATCTGCTACAAGATCTATTTTCAGTTGTCAGACACCCACATGAAAATATACTACAGTAATTTACAGTAAATACTGTAGTGTTTTATTAATCATACTGACACCTACAATAGAGATAGAGATGTTGCACAATCAGCTAAAATGTTGCTAGAATTGTTTTTTATGTATGGGTGATATATATTGCATCACCAAAAACGATTGAGGTCCTGTCCATGTGTTATGTGAGAAGTCCATATATTGATTATTGTCACAGGCCTCGCATTGAACTATATCACTGATAGCTTTATGAAGCTATTTCTACTAAATATTACACTGAAGTTTACTAATAAACAAAAATAAAACTTGAGTGTATTTTTTTTACATCAATGAACATGAGTTTAGTTTGGTTCAATAATATTTCTTTAAGTTACTTTCTTTTAAATAAAGTAACTCAATATCAAATAGCCGAGTCCATCACACAGACTCTGGGAGGAATTAAAAAGGCTGGCTGGATTAAACATTGACAAAATGTTCAGAAATGTTTTGAACGTTCAATACTTAGCATTGATTTCATGCCCCTCTATGAATCGTACATTTGTATAAAAGAGCTTGTGTTTGTGTAAGACAGGCCAAAAGCATCAACAAACTCATACGAGAAGGACAAAGACAAACATTTCTCAGACTTTTCCTTGAAGGTTTCGTTGCGTTTAACAGTAAGTAAAAAAAAAAAATCAGCTAATATTTACTGATGTACAATGCTTGACATGTAGAATTATATGAACATGATGTTCTCATTAGGCTACAAGAATAGTAACTACTTTATTTCTTAACCTTACATCAGGTCTTAACTGCCAAATCAAACCTCTTTAATAAATGTTAAGTGAAAAATGTAAGTGTTTTTAGTATCAGCAAGATATGACAGTCAACTCACAGCAAGAAGGCTGCTGGTTCAAGTCTCGGCTGGGTCAGTTGGCATTTTTGTGTGGAGTTTGCAAGCTCTCCCTATGTTGGCATGGGTTTGCTCTGGGCACTCCGGTTTCCCCCACAGTCTAAAAACGTGGTTTAGGTGAATTGAATAAACTAAATCGGCCGTAGTGTATAAGTGTGTATGAGTATGTATGGATGTTTCCCAGTATTGGGTTGCAGCTGGAAGGGCATCCGCTGCGTAAAACATATTCTGGATAAGTTGGCAGTTCATTCCGCTGTGGCGACCGCTGATAAATAAACAGACTAAGATGAAGGAAAATGAATGAGTGCATATGTCTAAGTTTCGGCCAGTTTGTTTCATGCTTTTACTTCCAATTAGATTTTTTGAAAATATATAGTGTGCTATTATTATTATTATTTTTGTGCAAACATCAGGTTTAATTCGGCAAAATGACGAGCAATATTTAACCCTCTACTGCACGGTGTAACCTTATGGCAACATGATACTTATGTTCATTTCCCTGCCACTGTTTCTTTAAGACCAACTTTAATTTTTTTTTGTTGGAAAGAGAAGACCCCAGTGTAGCCAATGATGTGCTTTGGTTAAGTCACATGACATGCTGTGTTTTCTGTAGCGCCAATTCTAACAGACTGGTGTTTATTGTGAGTGGTTGCTGAAATGCAAATGTAAATCAATAAAAACAAAAGATCAGATTATGTCAGATCCACAAAAAAATCTGTGATTATGATGACATATTCACAACTCAAAGAGTTTTTAATCAAATTATTTCTTTGTAAATGAATCAATTGTGTGTGTTGCCAAATGCCAACACTGTCCAGTAGTGGTATAATATTACAGTATATAGTATAATATATATAAACATTGTTAGCTAGTAGCCGCATTATTCTGATGCATCTGGATACACTAGACTTGTTGTTTATTTGTCAAAATATTAACTGGAGAAAATATTTATTTTTACTGTATGCTGTATACATGATAATACAATATTAGGTTTGTTTTCAATAATATTTAGCAAAAAAGAATAAAATAAATGAAAGGTGTTGGAATATGAGTTGTGGTAAAGTATGTGTTTTTTATAAGTTCTGTGTTGAAGCTTATAACACTGCAACAATAATCAAATCATTTCAAACAACAGAATTAATTATAAGGTAGTTTTAAATTTAACATTTATAAATTAGATCCACCGTTGCATGTTGTTGACATATGGCAACATTTCATAAAGTACCTTAAAAAAAGAAAAAATTTCAATTCTTTTACAGCACTTCAAGTTCAGCCATTTTAAGAAAAGAAAAACAGTCAAGTATTTCTTTTTTATAGATTTATCATAATGCGTGCGGTAGAGGGTTAATTTTGTTTTATAAACAAATATATATATATATATATATATATTTACAGCCTTTTTTATAACATTCCTTTTGGCCAAAACAGAAAAGAGTTACTTTGTGCCCCACTCTCAGCTGTAAGTATAATGATAAAACAAACAGTGCACCACAGTAGTTGGCTTTCCACACTGCGCTTTTAACCCCAGGTTAATGGACGGTTTGAGTTTTGTCTATCCCGTAGGTGTGTCACGGAAACACCTCGCGTTGATTTTTAACAGCTCCTGTGTGTTTTAGGGGAAATGTGAGAGGGAAAAAACGTGTCAAACTTAAGTGTACATATGTACTATCTGTACTTCTTACCTGTAAAGTCCGTTTAGAGAAATTAACTTCAAAAAGGTGAGAGCGGGCAGCAAAACGCCTCGCGAAATAAGCGCAATTGAACAGGTCACGTGCTGTACTCGTCCAATCAATGACACTGACCCCGCAAATATGCAAATAAGGGAATTAACCCTATGTGTAGCCATGTAAAATGCTGGAGAAATTATGGGTAGTGTGAAAAATGAAGAAAAATATCTGAGTATTGTGCAGTTTAGAATTAGTGAATCTGTAATTTAGAAGTGTGAATATCCCTGAGATGAAAAACAAATGTTTTAAATGACTTGTTAATTGTTAGACTTTTTGTGAAAATATCTAAATATTTTAAACGAACTAAATTCATTTCATTATATATTCTGTGTAAACACTGCTTAATGTTTTCAGTTTTGTTTCAGTTTCTGTTTTTGCATTATAGGAAAAAAAAACAAAAAAACATAATCAATCTTTACCTGAATTCTCTGCACAGTTGATTAGAGAATGGTTCATTCTGCGAAGATGCTGGTTTTTCTCTGCGCGCTGATTGGATGGTCACAGACTTTTCCACAGCGTGATGTCATCAGTGAGGATAAAGACGTCACAGATGCTGACTCAAAAAAGACAGAAGGGAAAGATGTTAAACTGATTGTAAGTGGCTACCACTGTTCTGGCTGTAACTGATGTCCGGTTACTTCTAAGACCATAGCGTTTTATGTATTTACTATTTATTTAATTAAAATATATTAGTGCTGTCAAATAATTAATCGTGATAAATCGCATAAAAGGTAATATTTCTAAAATATATTTGTGCGTACTGTGTCTATATTTTTGTGCATATAATATGTGCATGTCTATATATATATATATATATATATATATACTGTTACGTGCCGGCTCAAGAGAAACAGAACGAACCAATCACAAACCCATAACAATATATATATATATATATATATATATATATATATATATATATATATATATATATATATATATATAAAATATAAAATAACATGTAAGCATCTTTTTCATATTTTTGTAGTTAATGCATAGTGTGTTCATACATACACTCTCTGGCCACTTTAATAGGTACACCTGACCAACTACTTGTTGCCGCAAATTTCTAATCAGCCAATCACAAGGCAGCAACTCAATGCATTTAGGCATGTAGACATGGTCAAGACAATCTGCTGCAGTTCAAATTGAGCATCAGAATGGGGAAGAAAGGGGATTCAAGTGACTTTGAACATAGCATGGTTGTTGGTACCAGACGGGCTGTTCTGAGTATTTCAGAAACTGCTGATCTACTGGGATTTTCACGCACAGCCATCTCTAGGATTCAGAAAGGATGGTCTGAAAAAGAGAAAATATCCAGTTGTGTGGGTGCAAATGCCTTGTTTATGTCAGAGGTCAGTGGGGAATGGCCAGACTGTTTCCAGCTGATAGAAAACAGTAACTCAAATAAGCACTCGCTACAACTGAGGTCTGCAGAAGAGCATCTCTGAACACACAACATGTCCAACCTTGAGGCAGATGGGCTACAGCAGCAGAAGACCACACTGGGTGCCACTCCTGTCAGCTAAAAACAGGAAACTGAGGCTACAATTAACACAGGCTCACCGAAATTGGACAATAGAAGACTGGAAAAATGTTGCCTGGTCAGATGAGTCTTCATTTTTGATGCGACATTCGGATCTTAGGGTCAGAATTTGGCATCAACAATATGAAAGTATGGATCCAATTCTGCCTTGTATCAACAGTTCAGGCTGCTGGTGGTGGTGTAACAGTGTGAGGGATATTTTCTTGGGACACTTTGGGTCCATTAGTACCAATTGAGCATTGTGTCAACGCCAGAGCCTACCTGAGTATTGTTGCTGACAATCATCTCAGACTGTTTTTTTAACATGATAATGAGTTCACTGTACTCAAATGGCCTCCGCAATCAGCAGAACTCAATCCAATAGAGCACCTTTGGGATGTGGTGGATTGGAAGTTTCGCATCATCGACAAATCTGCTGCAACTGCATGATGCTATCATGTCAATATGGAGCAAAACCTCTGAGGAACATTTCCAGTACCTTGTTAAAACTCTGCCACAAGGAATTAAGGCAGTTCTGAAGGCAAAAGTGGGTCCAACCCAGTACTAGTAGGGTGTACATAACAAAGTGGCCAGTGAGTGTTTATCTTGGTTGTGAATAATCATGATTAATCCATTGACAGCACTAATATTGATGTATATTTTTTTTTTTTCAGGCCACTGATGTCACTCCACCAGTGTGTCGTGTGGTAAATGAGAGTTCAGAGTGTCTTTTGACATGCGAAAAGACAACCATTGAAGTGACGTACATGATGTCAGATGGCAACGGTTCAGGAATAAATCACACCCGCACATTTTCCAATAGCTTTAGTTTTAGCAAATATACTCAATATGACGGTCAGGATGAAAATGGCTACTATGCAGTTCTTTTGAAATACTCTGGCATCTGTTGCTCTGACGATTTGGAGGTTTCTGCTGTGGACAATGCAGGAAACATAGGGAAGTGTCCTGTCATTGTAAAACGTATACAACCCGATGATTCTACAAAGTTAGCAAAGAATTTTGGCCCATATTGGGCATAAAGTTGGCACAGCAGGCATTTGTCCAACACTAGCATACAGCATGTGGGGCAAACATGGCCCGGGTTAGGCAGAGGTGGCACCGTCTTTAAGACGGCATACAAGACCTGCGCCAAATATCAAATATAGTATTTGGCCCAGATGTTAAAATGTTTTTGTGGGCCACATAAGTTTGGCCCATCTTGACCCACTTTTAAAACACATATACATTTTATTCTTGAGTAAAGATCAATCAAGTCGCTTTGGGGGGAAAAAAAACGCAGCCATAAAGCAAAATGCTTCATGGGTTTATCAAATTCATTACAGTCTTGACACACCAACATATCTGGCCCAATTCAGGCCCAGTTTTGGGTTATTAACCTGGCTGAAACTTGGTCCAGATATGGTCCATGTTTGGCCCTTGAATGGAAGCCAGACTTGGTCCAGTCATGTATCATAATTCATGGCCCAAGCAAAAGCTGATTGTGTGGGCCACAGATGGGCCAGAGATATTTTGCTAAGTGGGTAATATTCAATAAGCTTAAAACAAGCAATTCTGGTATTAGGGATGCACTGATATGGAAACTTTGTTTCGATAACCAATATTAGTAAATAGTAATCTTAATGTTGATCTTGGCGACGCAGTGGGTAGCACGTTCGCCTCACAGCAAGAAGGTCGCTGGTTCGATCCTCGGCTCAGTTGGCTTTTCTGTGTGGAGTTTGCATGTTCTCCCTGTGTTCGCGTGGGTTTCCTCCGGGTGCTCTGGTTTCCCCAACAGTCCAAAGACATGCGATACAAATGAATTGGGTGGGCTAAATTGTCTGTAGTGTGTGTGTGAATGTGTGTGTGGATGTTCCCAGAGATGGGTTGCGGCTGAAAGCGCATCCGCTGCGTAAAAACTTGCTGGATAAGTTGGCGGTTCATTCCACTGTGGCGACCCCAGATTAATAAAGAGACTAAGTCAACAAGAAAATGAATGAATGTTGATCTTTGCCTAATTATAAAAGCAAAAGGTAAACAAATACTTCAAACAAATACTGATCTGATTTCAACACCAATAAAAGCTGATTTGAAGGCCTCTTATTTCAACATACAAAAAAATTACAATCTCCTAACACTTTGCAATAGTATCTGGATGCAGCCTTGATGATGCAAGGAGAGGGGTCTGGATGCAGACCTGGTGCAGTGCAATCTGGGCTGCACCCATGCTTTTTAATGGGCTCACCTAACCCTACCCGTCACAGTGACGTCACTAGCTCCATTTGAGTGCATTGTGTCGGACATTGCATCGCTGAGTGTTTCAGTCTCAGCTTGCATCATAAAGGCTGCATCCAGATACTGTTGGATGCAAGTTGTGACTGCATATCTCAGTAATGCAATGTCAGACACAATGCACTCAATGGAGCTAGTAACGACACTGTTAAGGGTGAGGTTGGGGTAAGGTTAGGGTTAAGTGAGCACATTAAAAGCATTGGATGCAGCTCAGACTGCACTGCACCAGGTATGCATCTAGACCCCTCTCACATTTTCACGTGTTCTCATGTGCATATAGTCTCATAAGTGAGTGTGTGTGTCTGCTCATGTGTGTATGTAAGCTCATGGCCAACACTGCACATGGTATTTCCACCTTTTGAACCACTGAAGTGGTTCAAAAGGTGGAAATATTATAATTTATTGATCAAAAATGGCCGATAATGATAGCAACATAAAAAAAGGCATTTATCAGTTGATACCAATATGGCTGCCGATATTGTCATGATTGCCAGAGGTGTCATCAACCCTGGAGATTAATTCCTGCATGCCTGCAGAACTACAACTCCCAGAACTCTTTGCACCCATCAACTCCAGCAACAGCTATAGCTCGTTGTCACTCATTACATGGACTATATATACACTACACTTTCTCATTCACACTGCTTAGTCTTGTTATCCTGTAGCACTACGAAGCTTTTCCCTGTCTTGTTTTCCCGTGCCGTATTTCGTGACCCTTGCTTTGTGTATTGTTTCTACTGTTAGCCACCTGAACTGATCTCTCTGCCTGTGCCCCGACTGCTGTTTAGGATTGCCCTTTATGTTATTGTTTGCTCTTGCTTGTAACCATTGCCTGCCTGACTATTCTTGTTAATAAAGACGCTGCTTTTGGATCCTTAACTCAGGATGTTACAGACAGGGATGTGCAGTATTTATGATACATGGATAAATGCAAAATAGTATTTTGCAAGTTGTGTTTGATGGGATTAATGACAAAGACTTCATATTTTGTATCAAAATACTTCAGTATCTTGTATTTTTAAAATACTGGAAAATACTTAGGAAGTTTACATGTTGACATTATAGATGCATCCTCTGATTGCTGCTTTGGACATTATTACGCTCCCATTTAAAGAATAATTTAAAAAAAACATCAATTCTTTGGGAATAAAGTATACTGCATAAATAATAGTAGTTTTGGATGGATTGCTGAAGCTAAATGTTTGTCTTTAAAACAAGCAACATTAAAATAAACCTACAGTGGCAATTCCTACAATATTCTTTGGCTGTTTTAAATGGCAGTAGTTGAACAGCAGATATAGTTGCAATGTACAGTAAATAAAGAGGAAAGATGTATGCCTAAAGATGTCAGAATGACACAACACATAAAACACATATTGAATAATCTCCTAAAAACTGACAGGTTATAAACAACAGGAGCAGGATACGTTACATGAAGAGTTTCTGGAAGTTTTCAGAAATAATGTTTTTACATTGAGTCAGTTTAATGGTAAAGGGATTGATGTCGTGCCCGTTTAAAAGTATTTTGTAATTTCTTTAAAATGCAAAAATACTGTATTTTATTTTGATGCATTGTGTGACTGTCGTATTTTGTAGTTTACTTTGATACATTTAAACTTAAGGTATTTGGTATTTTGTTGTTAAATACATTTCCATGTATTTTTTCCCAACTCTGGTTACAGATAGATTTTGCATCACTATTTTCATTTAATTAAAATCTAAACCTCTGTTAGATATGTTTTTTTTTCCACAACAGACAGAATCAAAACATTAAAAAAATGCCCATGTACAATTATTTAAAGACAATACATTCGGTGCATTACCTTGATGTGATGTACATCAGTGGTTCTCAAACTTTTTTCACCAAGTACCACCTCAGAAAAAAAATTGTCTCTCCAATACCACCATAATGACCAGTATTGAAATACAGAGTAGCGTATTAGGCTTAATTAAGCAGCTACAGCGCTGCTCAAAAACATGGCAGAATAATTCCTATTGTTATGAATATTATATTATATTATGTTGACAATTATATTGTCAGCCACTTTTAACATTATTAATAGTTTGAACATTTGCTAAAACATAAAAAAAAAAAATCAATGTGTGCTTATATATATATATATATATACACTAAAATGTAAAAGCATGCAGATCCTTTTTATTTGTAATTTCACTTTATTCACCTTAGAATGACATTGCCTCCTACATTGGTATTGCTGCAAGTTAAATAATTGATGATAGTTAATATCTGCTACATGAGGTAATGACCTTGATAATTACATGAATGACAAACTAAACTGGGAGATGACCAGCTAAAACCAGCTTGACCAGCCTAGCCAGACTGGGAGCCCAGCCAAAACCAGCTATGTCCAGTTTTAAACCAGGCTGGTCAAGCTGGTTTTAGCTGGTTACTTTCCAGCCTGACCAGCTAAGACTAGGCTGGAAATGGAAGGAAACCAGCCTGGAAGTGGCCAAAACCCCTCTAAAACCAGGCTGGTCGACCAGCTAAAACCAGCCAACCATCCTAGGCTGGTTCAAGCAGGATTTTTCAGCAGGGATCTATGTGTTTGATAACTTGAGATAGCAATAGATAACAGGAATTAAATCCTCAGAGATATTTGTCCAAAAACGCTTGGAAGATTCCAATGGCAGCCGTCACAGCTAGGAATAGCAGGACAAACAACACCAAGTAAAACCCTGGCAACCTAAGACAAATAGCAGAAATGGGTTGTAATTTGATTGAATTTGACACAATTTCACAGAATATAACTTTATAAATGCACTTATGTTTTGATTATCATCTTCTTTTGGATTCACTGATGTAGCCGGTAAAGTACATCTCTCTGCCCACAATATACACAAGCCCTCCAAGAGCCGCAAGCACTGAGAAAAGGAAGGAAAATTAGATCTTGTGGTAATCTATCAGGCAGGGGTGTCCAGACTCGGTCCATATTTTAGTTCCAACACTAATTAAGCACACCTGAACTAGCTAATCAAGCTTTTTCTAGGCATACTAGAAACTTCCAGGGAGGCGTTGAAGGAAGTTAGAGCTAAACTATGTAGGACACTGGCCCTATATGACTGAGTTTGGACAGCCCTGCTATAAGGGTATGTGTGTATGGTTCCTCATTTTTACATCTCTGAAATGTTTATACTTTAACATACCTTCATTGAAGAATATGCCAGATATCCACAATAGCACCACGAAAATGGCATAAAACTCTACACTGTTCTGGCTAAAGAAACAGAGGAAAAGCATTTGTACATGTTTATTAGGTTAGAGCAGTGGTGCTCAACCCTGTTCCTGGAGATCTACCTTCCTGCAGATTTCAGCTCTAACGCTGATCAAACACACCTGCCTGTAATTATTGAGGACTGTTCAGGTCCTAATTAATCAGTTCAGGTGTGATTGAACAGGGTTAGAGCTGGAGGCAGATCTCCAGGAACAGGGGTGAGCACCACTGAGTAACAATCAAGCGATATTTTTTGACATTTCACATATGAAATAAAAAAGATCTTACTGTGCTCGAAATGTCCTTTCAAACTCAGGTGGTCCAGTAACAATGGGGGGCACAATTTTAAACTTCATCCTCGACCAGCCCACACGTCTTGCCTGAAAACCTTGGGAAATTCAACATTATTAGTATTTAGCTCTAAGATTTTACCATAGACATTTAAATGCAGGCGACGCAATGCCGCAGTAGGTAGTGCTGTCGCCTCACAGCAAGAAGGTCACTGGTTTGAGGCTCAGGTGGGTCAATTGGCGTTTCTGTGTGGAGTTTGCATGTTCTCCCTGCGTTCGAGTGGGGTTCCTCCGGGTGCTCCGGTTTCCCCCACAGTCCAAAGACATGTGGTACAGGTGAATTGGGTAAACTAAATTGTCCGTAGTGTATGAATATGAATGAGTGTGTGTGTGTGGATGTTTCCCAGAGATGGGTTGCGGCTGGAAGGGCATCCGCTGTGTAAAAATGTGCAGGATAAGTTGTCGTTCATTCCTCTATGGCGAAACCGGATTAATAAAGGCACTAAGCCGACAAGAAAATGAAATGAACGAATGAAGATTTCAATACAATGAATGATAGTTATCCTAAATATAATTTCAAGTATATTAACTTGATAAACATATCAGGGTTTCTGCAGGTTTCACCAAGTTAAATGTAAGGCTTTTTAAGTGTATCTTAGCCAATTCCATGCGTGTTAAAGAAAAAAGGGTCAGGAGAGGGTTTTCTTCAATGTCTTCAATGTCAAATATATTAGTAATTTGTAAGATACTGAAGGAGTTTTTGATAATTTTAACATCATCCTATGCACTGATAGAATAATCCTTGCATTAATAGTTCAATTCTGTTTTTAACAAAGCACATGAACTTATGCTGATGAGTTTATCCTCAAATAACCTTATGTGCTTAACCTCATATAATTTGGCTTCATAACAGCTGTGCCTTTGTGTGACTGATAACCGAGAAGTTAACTCTTAAATTAAAACCTGTTTCAAAAGATTTAGGACGAACAACAAAACATTTCAGTAGATTTGACTTGTTAGGGTCTGAAATTTAAAATTTGAGATTTAAGACCCCACGAATACCCTGACATATGATCCATTGCAACTGATCTATGAAATATTAACTTATTGAACATTGAACCTAATTGTAATTACTGTTTTAATACAGGTCTCAGAACAGTGGCATAACACTTGCAGTGCTTTATTTAAAATGCATTGACCTTATTCTTGAATGTGGAAGTGCGCCTGTTTTCGCAATTATCTTTGAACTTCAGATTCAGTCTCATATGGAAGAAATTACTAGGAATAATATACGGCAAAAACACGGTCAAACTACTTGCTCTACAAACAAATGTTTGCATGACTGACTATACAGACCAAGTAGCATAATAAAACAAGCAAATATCAGTTTGCAACATCAAACAGCGAAACGAGCAGTTTTTAATGTCTAAAAATGAATGAAAGTAAACGAGACCGGAGGTCTCGTGCCAAAAAGATGCCAATCGCTGCGCCCGCTCGTCGGCGAAGAATAAGGTGAATAGTTTAGCCTATAAAAAATGGACTTTATTCAACATATTTAAATTCTGCAGATTCAGTAATGCAGTTCGTTACTTTAAAAAAGTCAAATGATTTATAAGTAATTGTATTGAAGAAACCTAAACTGGTAATAAATGAAATAATAATGTATACCCCAAAACTTGTTTTCCATCGATAAGTTTTAATCTTCAAAAGAAACATACTGTAGAACTTTAAGAACATGACACAATAAAATTAGTTTAATAACGTTAGGTCTATTCCTTTAGCTGCAAAACGGGATGTTTGACATAGCAGAAGATCTATTTACCCATGTGGAGAGCAGACAGTACCGACACAGCTGCGAGGAGAACTGGGAGATCTGAAGTCATATTCGTTGATGGTCCAGACACAACAACGGCTCCTTTTTGAACAGTATTTTCTTACAAGCGGGAGAGATTAGGTCGGTATACACGACTGAATTGAATATTACCTCGTGTTTTGAGACCGGAAATACGTGTATAAAGCGGTCTAACAGGTTTTTTTTTTTTTTTTTTAAAGCGGTCTAACAGGTTTACTGGGTGTCGCTGGCTGCAGAATATCCTATCGCCAGCAGCTATTTAGACAACTATGAGTGGAATGAGTATCTCGCGATTTGAAAATACCTGCTGAAAAATCCTGCTTTAACCAGCCTTTGTTTTTTTCGATAGGGGTGCTTTTATTTAACTATAAAAAGTGCAAAGTAATCTCCACCTTAGATAACCCAATGTACCAGTTACCAAACAACCTTTTGAACAGGTTCTTTTAAATGATTCTTTCGAATCAGTGAAGACTTCACTGAAGTGTGTGTGTGTGTGAGTCAGCTAAAATTTTTGGTAGGCTGTGGTTTGAACTGCCATAGACTAAAAATTTGCTAAAACATGTTAGAAAGCGTTAAGTTTAAGGTCATTTATACTGGAAATATGATAACGTGTTAAACGAGATGTTAAACTGCAAAAACATGTTAGCAAAGTTTTAAAATGTGAATGAATTAAGAACATGCTAACGTGATATGGCAGTGCTCAATCATGCTAAGAGTGCTAACCATGTCATTTGAATTAATTAAAAAATGTAATCTTAAATCTGCAATTTTCTGTTAGCACATTTAGAGCCAATGTTAAGTTTTATTTGGACAATTTACCCCTGGATTTCTGACTAAATCAAGTAATAAGTAGGGGAATTACCAACCTACATCACACATGACATCACACGGGCAAACATGTCATGTTGTGCGATAGGATGCCAAAATCGAGAGTCCAAAAATAGAAAACTTAACTTTTACCGTACACCACACTGCTTTTAATGCCAACCGTAGACGTCTTTGGCTAACAGCCATCATAAGAGCTGAATGGATTAAATTAAAAATGCTGGACTCTTATAGTCTATATATAAGAACTTATGATTTCAGCAAAACAGTAAAATATGGTGAATTAAACTGCGGACACTGAATGCTTAGAATATAATGTAAAATTGTAAGATCACATACCCTTTCGTAGTGTTGTACAGGTGAGGTTCGCTGTCAGAATGCAGCTTGTTGATGATTACCCAGGCTTTGTATAGCTCCGTCTTCTTTCCTTGTCTTTTGCTAGGCACCTCGGTTTTTAGCTCTAGAAAGTTTTAAATCTGGTAATGATTATTTCTTACACATGACCACACAGAACAACATTGTTTGCATCCAAAGACTTGTAGACCTTTAATTTCTCTCTTGTGAAATCACTTGGAATTTTAATGAGATTGTATATTTGGGTGTTGATGCTTGGCCTTTTGTCTTATCCAATATCCATTGGGAGGGTGCTATCGCAAATGGACCTGTCAGACTAACGCCGCTCACTTTACCATTAATTTTGCCGAATAACTGTGCTTATCACTGGGTGACAAGCTGTTATAATACACTGCAAGCATTATGTAAATAATATATATATATATATATATATATATATATATATATATATATATATATATATATATATATATATATATTATGCAATCAATATAACTTCCCTAATAGGACAACAAACTCTGTACCCGTTTTTTTTTTAAGCAACCTAAATGTGGCACACCTGAACGTTTACAAACCGGTAATTTGCCTATTGTTTAGTGATTAACAGCGAAGCGAATTCGCGGAGTTAAACTGCAAAATAAGTTAGCAAAGTTTTACTGTCAAATGTGATTAATCATGCTAAAGTGTTGGTTAAAATTAGTTTTGTAAGAGGCTGAATTATCATATGCATTTGTTTATATGACAAAACATGTCTTTTTGACTTAAGAAGGTCCATACTGACTCCAAAGGCAGATACTGATAAGATCAGGGCCTGGTATGCTGACTTTGAGGGCTTTATGATGTGGTCACATGTTGATTGGTCAGTTTGAATGTCTCAGCATTTGGGCTTTAGTCACATGGTCAAGAAAGATACAAAATAGGTGGTAAACTGTGCTCTGCCTCCTTTCCTGCCCTCTCTTTACCTGGCCTGTTTTCTCCTGGTCTGCTTCTCTCCTGCTCTGCTCCTCTTCTCCATTGGAGTCTATCTTCTCTGACTCTACTGCAATCTGGCTAACTTCTGGGCCTGCTCTCTTTGTCTCTCCCCCCTGTGTCTCTCCTTTTACCTCTGGTAACTTTAGTTTTACATTTAAGCTGGGTACAATTTATATCATGTGTTTTGTCATTTCATATTTTATCATTTCATACAGTTATTTTGTAATTAATTCAGTTGTAACCATAGAGAACTTATTTCCATTAAATCATCTCATATTCAAGTGTTTGTGAATTACTTTTGATTTAACATCAACATTTAATTGTTCCATATTGCAATACAATACAATCACAAAATGTCAACGCTCTCCCACATTTATAGCTATTAATACTGCCCTTATTTCCTTATTTTGGTATGAGATTGCAGAAGAATGGTTTGACTAGAAATTTAGTTTTTTACCATCATGCTGACAACTTTTTAGTCACTCGGCAGAACTACAGTTCAAACCGCTGTGGTTAAAACCCATTCTTAGCAGTGCTGAATCATGCCAGGAGTGCTACACATATAACAGTAAATGTTAAATTAATTATATTAAAAGAAAGAGAAAAAAATATTTACACATAAAGCTTAAATCCATAATTTTCTTGTCATAAATTCTAAAGCCAATATTAAGTTTTATTTGTTCATTTCCCCTACTAGCTTTGTGACAAATGCAAATAATGCATTGTTTTTGCAATTTACAGCGAAGCAAATTGTCCAAATTAACCTATTTGCGGTGTTAAACTGCAAAAACAGCAACGTTTTAATGTCAAATGTGATTAATCATTCTAGAAACATGCTAACATGTTAGTTAAAACTCGTTGGCAGCGCTCAGTCATGCCAGGAGTACTACACATATTTAAATGTACAATTCATTCTAAAAGAAAGAAGAAGAAATACATTCAAACTTAAACCTAAAATTTGCAATTTTCCGTTCATATATTTTAAAGCCAATATTACGCTTTATTTGTACAATCTCCCTGGATTTCTGACTCAACCAAGCAATGAATCGTTTAGCGATTGACGGCAAAGCGATTTGTCCAAGTGAACCGATTCGCTGAATCGACTCAGAGCACAGCTTCTCTTGCGTAAACAGAAATCAGTGCAGGGCTGATGATGTCAGACATTGTGCGCCGGAGAACTGACAGCTCTGAAGCTTCCGCGACAGGCATAAACATCACGCCGTTATTCCTTTAATACACAACTGAGAAAAGGCTAAACATGGACAGCGATGATGACAACATGGAAGAAGTGGTGGAAGGTACGAGAAGCTTATTCGTAAACCACGCAGTGTGTGTGCGCGCACGCGCGTAAGCTTGTTTTTCTGGGCTGTCAGGCTGAACTTTTATGCAGTCTCATTCCGTCGAGGATTAGCTTACCGACAAGATTTCCTGTGTAAACAAGCTGTCAAACACCCGAGGCCCGTAAACTAGACCCTTTCTTAATCCTCCAGATGACAAACGAGTGTTATTTGGGCTTTTTTACTTAAATACGATTTCTCTGGACTACCATGAACGCAAATACTGTACAGTATTATTAACAGAGACAATAAAGACTAATTAATTGATTTCTATCTAACGTTAAACACATCTAGTTTTATTATGTCTTCGTATACTGTATATAAACGTGTTAATGGGCCTGTAAATGTGCTAGATTTATAATTTGGTGTAACGTTACATTCTAGTGTTGTTGAAGCCACGTGGTTATCAATGTGTAGTGTGGACACTATAGTTGATTAATTCAGACCTGCACATTGCATGGGTGTCAACTGTGTGGACTTATATTATTAAACCTAGGTGTACCAAAGAAAGGTTTTTGCTATATGTGAAATATACAGTACAGTGAAGTGATATTACTATCCTGGGCTGCGTTTCCTAAAAGCGTTGCAAGCCTAAGTTAGTTTTAGCTCTGTTAGTCATGATCAGTGTTGGGTGTAATCCCTTACAGTTAACTAGTTGCTGTAAATAAATTTGTTTATTTGCAAAAAAAAAAAAGTAAAGGGGTTACTTTAAATACTTCTAATATACCTGCTCTAAATACACATAAATAGTCATAATAAATCATTAGTTTTGTATAAATTTATTAAGACCAGCAGAATAATTTTTTGTTCAGATATATTTTGCAGAAAAATAGTTTTTTTTTTTAAATAAACAAGGTTGCATTTATCAAGACAGCTTTTATCAAGACAAAAACAGTGGCAGAGGTTACATTTGTCTATGAGTTGCATAAAAAAAGTCAATTGCATTATAAATAAATTACAGTTTTGTGTGGTAGTTGAGCAATATCACACTCGTAGCAGTGCGATATGGCTGTATATTGGGACTGGTGGGAGGTGTGGGCTTAGTGTCCCACCAGTGAATATATACAGCTTTATCGCACTTTTACAAGTGTGATATTGCGTTTATACGTTGTTCGATGGCAAAGTAATGTATATAAAAATAAACATCGCACAAAGAGAGTCTTAAAGTCCTTTTGTATGAGGAACTACTTTCTTTTGCTGTTTACACATCTGCAGCTGACGTCAGAACAGCAGATACTGTTGCTACTTCACAAACGTCACTTTAGAGCTAGTTTTTGATTGATTCTCTTGTATAATGTTTAAAGTGATGACAAAATTTGTGATTTTGCTCACATTTTGAGATTATAAGGCTGAACAACATGAAATGCCATCAGTCTACAGAGATTTCCCAGTATTTCTGTTGCATTTACAATAATTAACCTCAAAAAAGCCAAAGCAAAGCAAACACTACCAGACTATGATATAATTACAGCACTAACTTTACAACATACAAGAGCGAGATCGACTTAGAAAGTCACTTACCTGTTTTATGATGATTTGATCAGATGTAGATTGAAATTACGCTGAGTTTTTCTCCTTTAAGGGCTTATTATGTGGTCTGTGTCGCCACCTTGTGGCGGATCGTCAGCCGTCTTTGCTCTGCTCAGTATGACAGGCCAATGGATGCTGATGTGCTTTATCTCCAAAATTATAAATATTTAAAATAGGCTCTATCCTTATAAATAAACTGCATAGTTGCAGTTTAAACAACTACATTCTCCACTAAAAAGCCTCAAAAGTACGTTATGTTGTCCAACAGCAGCAATATTTGTCAAACTGTAGTCCTCTGCTTGTCGCTTGTGTGGGCGGAGTAATACACAACGGTGAAGACGCGGTATGAGTGCTTATGTTACTTTAATGTCTCATGGCTATCAGCCAATCAGATTCGAGAACCAGACAGAACTGTTGTATAAACTTTAATATTATGTTAGTAATTAGAATAGTACTTAGTACTTTAATTTTGTTTTTTGAAGCAATTTCGCTGGTTATGATGCTTTTGGGAAACGCAGCCTTGGTCCATTAAAATTATCGTTGAGTTATATGGAGTACATTGGTTATTTATCTTTGATGTCATGACTTTTTAGGACCACTGGATGAGGATGACCAGCCTCATGGTTTCTGCACTGTGACCTACTCCTCCAGTGACAGATTTGAAGGACATTTTGTTCATGGCGAGAAGAATGGAAAAGGAAAATTCTTCTTTTTTGATGGCAGGTTTGAGACTTGTGGTGCATGTTGGTACCATAGCTGAGTCTATTATTGTTTTAATCATGGAATAATTGTCACTAGCGTTGATTAGACCCACATATCCATTATTTCTATTATGATAACCGTCAATATTATACGACTTTAGGTTTGATCTTGGTGGTCTAGATCTGCTGTGGACATTTGTGAAAGCTTACTACTGAAATGTGCTGAACTTTTTGGGATTAAAAAAAATGTCATGAACATGTGGTGCTAGGGAGGGAGGAGGGCTAAACCCCCACATCTAAAAGGCTGACTGAATGGCAAAGAATGATTGATTGTGTTTTCAAGCTTCAAGTATCAAGTAGCTACTCTGAAACTTTGCCTGTTTCTGTTATAACTTTTAGTCAGTGATTAAATTATGGTTGAGCAATTGACTTTTGGCCTTCAACAACTATGAACACTAATAATAAATTAATAATGATTAAAAGATAATGCATTAATGTGCATCTTTTGTGAAGCTATTTAGAAACAATAATTATTGTGAAAGGCGCTATACAAATAAACTTGAACTGAATCAAAAACAATAATTGAAGTAGTCTACATGTTAATCCAGCAGTCTACATGTTTCTCCACAAAGCCCAAATTCATGTGGAAATCAGTAAAATCATGTAACGCAATTTATAGCAGCATGGGACTTGATTTATTAAAGTGTATTAGATTTATTTGTATTTTAAAAATGCAAAAGAAAATTTGGGCACAATATTTGAAAAAAAAATTACATTGCAATATTTAAATTTTTATGCAATGTATATGTTGTGATATGAAATCTATTTTTCCAGATGGATTGAATATATTTAAGAAGAATTCAACATTTCAAAGTAGTCAGGGTGATTTTATAGGAAAGTGCATCTGCATAAATCACTATAAAACTGGTTAAAATTAACTTTAAATTAGATTTTAGGGAACAAAAAGTATTTTATCTGCCACTTTTGTCTGGCAGTTGGACACAAATATTTAATAATCTAAAGTAGGCATGGGTTGATAACCATTTTCAAGGTATACTGTACCATGGTTTGGAAAAGTCAAGGTTATAAAATTGCCAGAATTTTCTGCTATACTATTCCAAAGTTGCTGTTTTAAATCATAAAGGAATGTGTGTTTTTGAAACTAATGTAGACAGCAGAAGTCAATGATTGATTTGAGTTATTTAGCCAGACATGTTTACCGTTCTAAAATAATTTAAGTGTTTCTCAAAATAAAATATTTTGTGTTCAAATGGATAAAAAGTTTAGTTTTTTACCCAGATATTTAAAAAGAACACATTTTAAAGCAGTGATCACAATACTGTGAAACAGTGATATTTTTATCCAAGGTGATCATACCGTCAGGCTCCTACACCGGCTCATGCCTAATCTAAAGTAACTCCATAATGGTTAAACTTTGCTATTAATCTACAAGCCCCTGGTCAACAATAACTCATACTTGACATTGCAAATCCATTAACAGTACATTTGTTATGTAATAAATGAACATGAAGAGTTGAGAATGAAAATGCATGTGTAACAGTATATCGGATTCGTGCAGCTCTTAAACTGACAGCACCCTATATTCCTGCTGCCGACTGTGCTAAATATTAATTAAACAACAAACTCGTTTACTGAAGGACTTTTGTAGCTTTAGGAAACTAAATCAGGTAGCAAGTTTAATCAATTGAATTATTTAGGTGTAGACTAATCTTAAAGCAGAGTTTGTTTCAATCATGTGTATTTTTATTCTTTATTAATTGCTTTATTTGAATTGACTTGAATTGATATAATTTTTAGTATTTTTTTCTTAACTCTCTTTGTTTTTAATTATTTATTATGCTGTGGTATTGAGAATTTCATGATTCTGAAATGTATAGCAGTAATAGCAAGTTTAATTTATTAAATTATTATATAATTTCTTATAAATAAAAAGGTTTTGATCATATGACTTGCTTATAATTATTTTAAATCAATAAATCACTCAATTATTGTTTTAAATAATCATAATTATAATTTTAGGATTTAGAATTTGTCTTTTTATTATTAAGCAGCCCTAATTATAAGTATTTTTCAGACAAAGACATCATCAGTAGCAGCAGCAGATGTAATTCAATTTCTTAGTTTTCTTTTCCGCTTTCCATTTGCTTCTCTTCGATGCTCTATTTTTTCGCACTCTAAAAAGCTTATTTCAGATCAGTAGCATATACATTTATTGTAATATTTCACCTGGATGTCACCTGTTTCCTCTCCATAGTACACTGGAGGGTTTCTATGTGGACGATGCTTTGCAGGGTCAGGGTGTTTACACATACGAGGATGGAGGAGCATTACATGGGTTCTACGTAGATGGCGAGCTAAATGGACCTGCTCAAGAGTTCAATTCAGACGGTCAACTAGTCTTCAGGGGACGATACAAGGACAACATTCGCTATGGCATGTGCTGGGTCTACTATCCGGTACGTGTTGACACATTATTCTCTAGCTACAACATTCATTATAATGCCATTGCAATTTCTTGACGTACCTTTTTAAAATTGCATATGAAAATATTATTTTTGAAATATGTGTATTTTACGTATATGTTTTTAATATGTGTGTTTGTATGCATGCATGTACACTTACCGGTCACTTTATTAGGTACACCTTACTAGTACCGGGTTGGACCCACTTTTGCCTTCAAAACTGCCTTAATCCTTTGTGGCAGAGATTCAACAAGCTACTGGAAATGTTCCTCAGAGATTTTGGTCCTTACCATTTGTCGGCTGCACATCCATGATGCGAATCTCCCATTCCACCACATCCCAAAGGTACACTATTGGGTTAAGATCTGGTGACTGTGGGGGCCATTTGACTACAGTGAACTCATTGTGATGTTCAAGAAACCAGTCTGAGATGATACTCGCTTTATGACATGGTGTGTTATCCTGCTGGAAGTGGTCATCAGAAGATGGGTACAATGTGATCATAAATGGATGGAAATGGTCAGCAACAATACTCAGATAGGCTGTGGCACTGACACGATGTTCAATTGGTTCTAATATGGTCAAAGTGTGTCAACAAAATATCCCCCACACCATTACACCACCAGCAGCTTGACCCATTGATACAAGGCAATTCTGACCCTACCATCCAAATGTTACAGCAGAAACTGAGACTCATCAGACCAGGCAATGTTTTTCCAATCTTCTATTGTCCAATTTTGGTGAGCCTGTGCCAATTGTAGCCTCAGTTTCCTGTTCTTAGCTGACAGGAGGGGCACCCGGTGTGGTCTTCTGCTGTTGTAGCCCATCCACCTGAAGGTTCGACATGTTGTGCGTTCAGTGATGCTCTTCTGCAGACCTCGGCTATTTGAGTTACTTTTTGTCTTTCTATTAGCTGGAATCAGTCTGACCATTCTCTTTTGACCTCTGGCATTAAAGGGCCATGACACCCCCCACTTTCGTTTAAAGTCTACTTCAGAATTTTTTCAAAAGATGCATGATTAATGGGCGTGGAGCTCCGCGAGCATCAGGCAGGAGTGGGCGTGGCCAGCAGGGAAGAACGTGAGCGAACGAAGCTAGCTCACAAAATGAGACAAACCGTGAGGAGACGCATGAGTTTATAGTTTACAAGGTTAAAATGCAAAGAAATGAACAGTGATTTAATGCCCTGCTACATTTGTTATTCGTAATTTCATATACACATAACCACAATTTATATCATTATAAAGATAAGTGTGTTCATGTAAACCCTATAAATGAGGACTTCTCCCTCAATCCCCGTATCCAGCAGACTCAGTGCAGTTTTACTCAGTTTTAACCATTGCTGGTAATCTGGAGGATTTAGGCAAACACAGCAGCACAGTGATCTGTCTGAATGTGAACGAACTCCTGATAAAAGACAGTGTCCATCATTCTCTAATTCTCGTGCTGCTCTCCCGACTAAAATGCTGGCTGCACACACACATCTTTGCTGTATGATCGGCCCTGACAAGATCGCGGGGGAAAACATGCAACAAACCCCGTGAATCATGGAAAAAAAGGCATATGAGCCTTCATGAATGGCTAAATACTATGTGCCGTGGGTCCGTGACGTGTCTCATAGCTCGTGCTTGACTCTGGCAGGTCTGGCAGGTCTCATGAATAATTAAGCAGCCGGCTCTTCTTATAGGATAAGAAAACTCCGCTATGAATAATAATGAGAAACCGACGCGTCATCATTGCACTTGCAGTACTGCGCTACGTCGCCGATTTTGATCCCACCCCAAAAATCATTTTAAACCCGGAAGCTGAAATTAGCTGACAAAAGCTCAAAATTATCCAGTTTTCCCCACAATTAAAGCTGACAGGTGCTAACATTGTCTTAACTGATGCTCAACACACACAAATCTGTTAATATATAAAAAAAAAGTTTTCCAGGGTGTCCTGAACCTTTAACAAGGCATTTGTGCCCACTGAACTGCCGCTCACTGGATATTTTCTCTTTTTCGGACCATTCTCTGATCTGATCAACATTCATAGTCACTTAAACCCCCTGTCTTCCCCATTCTGATGCTTGCTTTGAACTGCCATGTCTACATGCCTAAATGCTTTGAGTTGCTGCCATGTGATTGGCTGATTATCAATGTGCTTTATCGAGCACTTGGACAGGTGTACCTAATAAAGTGGCCGGTGAGTGTATATACACATATGTATTGTGTGTGTGTGTGTGTGTGTGTTTAATTTGTTTCTATTTGTTTATACATTTGTTTGTTTTTTTGTATTTGTTTATCTGTCTTTTTGTATTTGTTTTTTTTATATTTTACCTGATATTGAAATTGTTTCTTAATATTTGTTTGTGAGAGTTGCATGTATGTAGGAAAAGTGCTATAAAAATAAAAATGTAATACTATCGTCTGTTGGGTAAAGGATGGAGCCTGTGTTGTGGGAGAAGTGAATGAAGAAGGAGAAATGACTGGAAAGGCAGTGGCTTATGTGTACCCTGATGGCCGTACGGCTCTGTATGGCTCTTTTGTTGACGGAGAGCTGATCGAGGCTCGGCTTGCGACTCTTACAACCCAAGAGAACAGCCGGCCGCACTTCACTGTTGATCCAGATAGTAAGCAATACTTTTATTTACAGTCTCATAAATCTTATCTGAAGATTACCCTTTGCATTGTATGTTGTGTTGTTTAAGGCAGTGTTTTACTCCTCCCAAAATGTAAAAAAGTAAAGAAAGCGTGTTATGCCGAGTTCTGACTTCATGATTTTAGCTCGGATTTTGACTCGCCGACAGGTTTTGAGAAATCGCAGACAAATGCCTGAAATCTCAGGCAAATCGTTCCTTGTTTACGTGAGTGACAATCACCCAGTGTGAATTATCAAAGACACGAACTTATAGAATTGCAGATGAGTCACCAACACGGTGAGATTACTGGCATGCTAAATATCTGGAGCTGTCAGCGATGCAAAATCATGCCGTGTGAAATGTGTTCTGATTGAAAATAACACCGGCGATTACTTACAGCCAATGAGAGAGCAGCATCCACTGGTGTGGGTATTTGCAGACCAGCAGGAGGTTGGGGGAGAAGTTAAAAGGGCTCATGTTCATTTTTCTATTTAAATCCAGCAAAGGGGTTTATATATATATTAATATAAAATATATTATTAAATCTGAAATGCTTAAAGCACAATTTGTTTCATATTTTTATTCTATTGTATTGATTTCTCTTTATTTGTATTTATTATCTTTCATTATATAACAGTAGTTTCTTCTGCAATTAAAAATATATATTGCCTAGAGGGGCTAATAATATTGACCTTAATAGAGGATTCAAAATATTTAAATCTGCTTTTATTCTAGCCAAAACAAAACAAATAAGCCTTTCGACAGAAGAAAAATATTACAGTGAATACTGTTAAAAATCCTTGCTCTGTTAAACATCATTTGGGAAATATTTATTTTAAAAAATTCTCAGGAGTGCTAATAATTTTGATTTCAACTAATAATCGTTTGAAATAATCGTGATTACAGTTATGACCAAAATAATCGTGATTATTATTTTTCCCAAAATCGAGCTGTCCTAGCCCAATGTGTTCTTAATCCGGCCCTGTCTGCTGCGTAAAACATATGCCAGAATAGTTGGCGGTTAATTACGCTGTGGCGACCCCTGATAAATAAGGGACTAAGCCGAATTAAAATTAATGAATGTGTAAGCTTACATTTTTGTAAATAATAATGCTAATTGTTATTGTGCACATGACACTCGACGTAACCTAGTGAAATTTGCATATTGCACAGGACTTGATTAACAGAATCATATCCGTTTAGCAGAGACGTATTCATGTGGTCAAAAGTAAATCGAACCGTTTTCAAAAATCAGAAAAACAAGCTATCCGATCAGAAAAAACTGCATAAATTTGATCTTTTTCTCTCATTCATTTCAGGTCCTATTTACTGCTATGATAAATCCACTTCATCCTGTATCGCTGGTCATAAACTGCTGCCTGACCCCTACGAAAGTCAACGGTTGGTGCAAGCTGTGATCAACCATGTAAACCCCAATCTATCAAATCTGGTTTTGCATTGAAAACATGTGCTTGTTTGTTCCAGTGATGGATTGTCTTGTCATTTCACCAGGATATTCAGCTGGTTCTGTACTATAGTATTGCACATGTCATCACCTTGTTGATTTCAAGCTGAAATGGTTTTATTTTTATGTTGGTTGAACAGTGTGTATGTGGGACAGTCGCTTATTTCCGGAGCTGGAGAAGGGCTTTTTGCACAAACGGAGGCTGAGGCTAACACTGTGATGGCTTTTTATAATGGTGTCCGCATTACACACACTGAGGTTTGATTGGTTGTGTTTTACAGCATTCAAGGCTAGAATTTACTTGATGAATGATGTGCTGAATTATTTTTATATCTGTGCTTAAATAAACAGGTGGACAGTCGTGATTGGTCCATGAATGGGAACACCATTTCATTGGACGAGGACACTGTGATTGACGTTCCTGCACCTTTTAATATGACAGAGAATTATTGTGGATCTCTTGGTCACAAGGCCAATCACTCCTTCTCTCCCAACTGCAAATACGACCAGTGAGTCTGAATATATTCTATTCTCTATGGTTATAATCCATTAAAAGTCCCCAATAGGTCGGAAGAATTACTCAGACTGTCCTGTCTGACACAAACACTCATGCCATATTCCAAAATAATCACATTTCTTCCCTATTTTGATGCTCTGTTAAAACTTTAACTGATGGTCTTGACCAGGGCTACATGACTAACTGCATTGAATTGCTGCCAAGTACTTGGCTGCTTAGATAACTGCATTGACAGGTAGTTGAACAGGTGTACCTAATAATGTGTCCATTAAATATATGCAAGTTTTAAGCCGTGGTCACACTGCACTTTTTCCCCATAGACTTCCATTCATATGCAAGCGAATGTGGCAGACCAGAAATGCAAGCTGGTGCGACAAGTTTCCCACGTCGCTGCATTGGAAAGTTCAAGCTCTGACCTGCGAAATCACATCATTATTCGAAGATCAAAAACGTGACCTCTTTGTACAGAAATTTTAAATATGGACCAGTCGCTCACTTTTATCAACGTTAAGTTAAAATGCAACGTTAAGTTAAAATGCAAAGAAATAAACAGCAATTTAATGCCCTGCTACATTTGTAATTTCATATACACATAGGGCAGGCAATTTTTTCGATTAATTTGAATTTACGTTTTAAGACGATTTAATTTTGAATGAAATCGGGAAATCGCGATTTTTAAAAATATATATATTTAATACATTATAATGGCACCAATGCGCTTGGGTTCACTCTTTGTATGAAGCAGGAAGCACACCAGAAGCGCCTCTCGGCGACGCGCAGCACAGCACCACGCAGCGCCATGGATTTTAGAATTCTAAACAGATTTCTATACACACACCGACGCCGCCCAGTCACGATTCACGAAGCAGTTCATATTTCAGCCGGCCCACAGAGCGCCATCTGATTAGTTTCATGTTAAAAATCATGCGAATGTGCACGTTTGGTGTGTGATAGTTTAAACTTTCATGTCCGCGCCGTGTCACGGCGCTTCTGGTGTGCGACCTGCTTGACTGCCTGTTAAAGCGTGAAGTCGTAGGATTTTACTTGTTGCACGTCTGTGTGGATTGTCAAGACATATTGCCTCATCAAGTCGATAAACTCGATCTCAACATGTATGAAGGATGTAAAAGCCTGCCATGTGAAAAACCTCGCCGATCTTTTGGTTTGAACACGATTAGAGGTGAGGGACTGTGTAGCAGTGAAAATGAAAGTACCCGCCCCCATGACGTAATTTAGCGGACCTAGTTGAAAACCAGACAGATCAGACAGCATAATAGAGAGTGGTGCAAAGCGCATCAAATGATCGGTATTTAAAAGGGTAGAAAAAAGAAAAATAGATTTAACATATTATTTTATATTAGACACACATCTGGTACTTGTATTTCCTCCTACTATATGTCCACAACTTCACACATTGGGTTAAATTAGGCTTTACAGTTTCCATGTTTCCATGTATCTTTTTAAGAAAAAGGCAGCAGCATTACAACCGGTTCATTCAATCAGAAGACAAAGTTAAAGCCGAGCTGACAGCCAATCTTTCCTAGGCTCAGCAAAACTTGCAAAAAATACCTCTGTATTCCTGCAAGTGCAATATTTACACAAATATTTCTTATTCAAATCTTCTGCAACGCTATTTAGTGAATTTGTTTTTATTTACACCTTGACCGATTTTTGTATGACATGGCCATTAAAAATACAATGTTCCTTAACCAGATGGTTTTTCAAGTTACTTTTAAAGAGAATGCTACTTCAGTCATGTTGTTGTAATGTTTTGAGAAGACCAGTAACACAATAAAAAAAAATCAAAATCGAAATCATGAATCGGTCAAACGTTATAAAAAACCTAGATTTTTTTTTTTGCTAAATCGCCCAGCCCTATATACGCATAACCACAATTTCTATCATTATAAAGATAATAGTGTTCATATAAACACTAAATGAGGACTTCTCCCTCAATCCTCGGGTCTGGATGCAGACTCAGTGCAGCAGGTCTCTGCCCTGGCTACTTTAACCATTAGCCCTGCTGGTAATCTGCAGGATTTAAAAGAACACAGCAGCACGGTAATGTGTCTAAATGTGTACGAACTGCACTGATAAAGGAGAACACCGCCATTCTCCAATTCCCGTACTGCTCTCCCAACAAACATACTTGCAGCACACACACAACTTTGCTGTATCGGCCCTGACAGCATCGCGGGGAAAACATGCAACAAACCCCGTGGGGATCTTGGAAACAAACACATACAACCCTTCATGAACGACTAAATACTGCGTGCCGTGGGTCTGCGGACGCGTCTCACCCAGTCATCAATGTAGGATGTCACACCTGAGCTTGGCACTGGCAGGTCTGCTTTGTCTTCGGAAAGCACGCGCAGTCATGAATAATTAAGAAGCCGGCTTTTCTCATAGGATAAGAAAACTCAGCTATGTCGGCGCCAATAGCCTAATGGTTAGTGCGTTGACACATAGCACCAAGGTGCTCACGGCGACCTGAATTCGATTCCCGGCTCAAGGTCTTTTGCCGATCCTTCCCCTATCTCTGCTCCACACATTTCCTGTATGTAAAAATCTCCACTGTCCTATTCAAATAAAGGTGAAAACCCCTAAAAATAATTATATAAAAAAAAAAGAAAAGAAAATTCAGCTATGAATAATAATGAGAAATCGACATGTCATCTTTGCACTTGCAGTTCTGCGCTAGGTCGCCGATTTTGATCCCGCCCCAAAAATAATTTTAAACACGGAAGCTGAAATTAGCTGACAAAAACTCAAAATAACCCACACAATTTTTTTTCCCCACAATTAAAGCTGACAGGTGCTAACATTTTCTTAACTGATGCTCAACACACACAAATCTGTTAAAAGTACTCAAGGGTTTCGTGAACCTTTAAAAACATGTGCAAATTTATATGTATGTATTATATCATCTTTGCATCAAATTACACTAAAGTAAAGTAATCGTCCTGTTTGCGCTGTTCACACTGTCATTACCGGAGTCACATGTGGGCAAAAGAATCAGATCCGGGACACATTTGGCTGCAGTGTGAACATAGCGTTTACCCAACTATGACGACTTCGCCTACTGAGAAACACGGAAATGTGAAAAGGGTCTATAGTGGGTTAGTCATTCAACTGTTGAAGTAACCCCGTTTATTATTTTATTTTACCCTATCCAGGTATGTCCATCCTCGTTTTGGCCAAATAAAATGCATCCGAACAATCCGAGCTGTGGAGAAGGACGAGGAACTCACAGTTGCTTATGGTTATGATCATGAGCCTTCGGGAAAGTCTGGTCCAGAGGCACCAGAATGGTACACGAAGCAGTTTCTGGAGTTTCAGCAGAGGGAGTCAGGAAAAGGGGCAGACGAGACCTGCTAAGACTCCTCTGAACACCTGAAAGATCTCCCACCCCAGCCTCCTACCACCAGAAACTCCTTTCACTATCCTGCAGCTAACACTAACATATAATCAATCACACTTCTGAGCTGGTTTCTGGCATCCTCGCGTTTACAAGGATTGTAACTGTGAAGTCCTGCAAGCTGCAGAACTCTGTGCTTCTACAATGTGGAAGACTTGTGTGTGTGTGTGTTTGTGAATGCATTGGTCGAGCTACAAGAATAGAGAGCAAGTGTTTTTTAAGGGATTTGGGGGAGTTTTTAATGAAGTGGATTGAAAAGTGTGAAAAACTAGTTACAATTGATTGAGGTATACATCCTCTTTACCACAAACTGTGATAACTATGCAGTATTAAACCAGTATGGTGTCTTTAGCTGCTCATGTTTCCCCCACAAGCATTTTAAACGATGTATTATCAACAGTTGTTCTTGCAAACGAGTCTTATTTATCATGTATGGTTACCGTCAAGTACAGTGTTATTCTGGCGCAGTCTTTTATTTATTTCAGATTTTTTTGTTTGTGTATTTGTCTTACACACACCAAGAGTAAAAGAAAGTTCAAGTAAGGTGTACTGTATGCATTGGGAAATGAAAGAAAGGGATGTGTTTGAGAATATGGTGCAATGTTCAGAGGAATCTTTTTACTGAGCTTCATCCTTTGATATGCAGAAGCTATCAACAAAGAATTATCAATAAAAATACTCCAGCATAGAGCACAGTTCCTTTGACTCGTGTTTTAATTGTACTTTGCTATTGTATCACTGTAAATGATATGAAGAAGATATGAATACAGTTTCTTTGAGCTGAATGCAAAACCGACTTCATCACTGACTGTAAACATATATACTACTCATTCATTTTCCTTCGGCTTAGTTTCTTTATTTTTCAGAGGTTGCAACAGCGGATTGAATTGCCAACTTATCCAGCAAATGTTTTAGCAGTGGATGGCCTTTCAGCTGCAATGCAGTACTGGGAAACACCCATACACTCTCACATTCATACTCATGCACTACAGCCGATTTAGCTTATTCAATTGACCAAGAACGCATGTGTTTGGACTGTGGAGGAAACCGGAGCACTTCACCCACGCTAACATGGAGAGAACATGCACACATATGGAGGACGAAACCTGCAAAAACAGTAAATAAATAAATATGCAAATAAAATAAATTGATTTTTTTTTAAATCTGCATAAAACAACAGATAAGCAAATAAATAAATATAAAAAAACACAAAATCCTCCATAAATAAAACAATAAATATGAAAAGAAATAAATAAATTATATTAAAAAAACAAAAATTTCGGCATAAAAACTATAAATAGTGCGAGCAGATTAATAATTAAATAAATTACACGAATGTTGGGGGAATAAGAAAATGCTAAACAAAGTAGATTCTTCCTTTCACACCAAGCTATTTATTATTTATATATTACTTTATGCAGGTATTTGTAGATTTATGCATTGAGTTATTTATTTATTGTTTTAGTTATGCAGGAATTTGTTTATTTATTTATTTATTTATATGTGTATTTATTTATTTATTGTTTTATTTTAGCAGATATTTTTGTATTTATTAATGTATTTGCATATTTATTTATTTATTGTTTTATTAATGCATAAATTTATTTATTTATTTACTTGGGTATTTATTGTTTTATTTATGCAGGAATTTGTTTATTTATTCATTTATTTGCATATTTATTTATTTATAGTTTTATTTATGCAAGAATTTGTGTATTTATTCATTTATTTGAATATTTATTTTAGTATTTATTTATTTATGCACAAATTTGTGTATTTATTTATTTATTTTAGTATTTATTTATTTATGCAGGAATTTGGTTAGATATTTATTTACATATTTACTTATTTATTGTTTTATATATGCAGGAATTTATAGATTTATTTATTTGCATATTTACTTATTTATTGTTTTATTTATGAAGGAATGTTTATAGATATTTACTTATATATTTGCGTGTTTATTTATTTGTTTTTGCAGGTTTCTTCCTTTGTACACATAGAAATGGCAACTGTCCCAGCCGGGGCTCGAACCAGCGACCTTCTTGCTGTGAGGCCCCTATATATACTATTTTAAATGTAACTCTTATTTATCTGATTGCTATTTGTGGTTTGTGCTATTTTTTTGCCAAATATATATATATATATATATATATATATATATATATATATATATATATATATATATATATATATATATATATATATATAAATTGCTTTGTTGTTATTGCAATAAAAAAGAGATTGGGGAAGTGAAATGTCAGTATTAAACAACTGGCTGTAATCATGCACGCACAGAGAGGGAGGGCGTGACCATCCTGCTGCACCTGCGCGCGCCCGCCAGGTAAATGAGTGACACGCTGGGTTTCAGAGCTTGCTTCTAAACAAAAGCGGTCCGGAAGTGAAAAAGGAAAAACGGCAGAGGTAAATACGGATTTAGCTTGAATTTACAGCAATTATACATCACTTATAACCAATAAGAACTATATAGTAAATCAGAAGAGTGGCTTTAAGGTACATTATGTTAGTAAAGTGGTTTCGTTTCAACACACAAACGAAAAGCGATAGTGATTCGCGTTTCCACTTATAAGCGTTTAATGAAAGCTCTTCCAGAGACTAAACGTTTATCTCTTTTGAATAATATGTTCATGTTCTTCTGTTTGGCTGTTCTGTGCTTTCTAGAGACCTGGGATGGACCGTTACAGGTATTTCATCTTCAACCAGAAGAGTGTGGTGGTGCTGGGCATCCTTCAGGTGGCGTGCGCGGGGCTCTGCGTGGTTTGCGGCTTTATGGATGCGGTTTTCCGCAAGAGCACTACTCTCAGTGAGACCAGGGCTCCACTATGGGCTGGATTGGTGAGAAACTCAAACTAAACTAACATTATCTTTATTTTAACCTTGGTGTGTGCTGTTGAGGATGTTTTCATCCGCTCTGGGGGGATTTTAAGTCTTTGGCCACAGCTTTCTCTGAGTATCAGCAAATGGAATGGTTTTTGCTGATTTATTTATTAGCATATTTATTTATTGTTTTATTTATGCAGAAATTTGTGTATTTATTTATTCATTTATTTTTTATTTGCGTATTTATCTATGTATTTATTGTTTTATTTATGTAGGAATTTGTGTATTTATTTATTCATTTATTTTTTATTTGCGTATTTATCTATGTATTTATTGTTTTATTTATGTAGGAATTTGTGTTTATTTATTTTATTTATGTATTTATTTATAGTTTTATTTTTGCAGGAATTTGTGTATTTTCATTTATTTATTTATTTGTTTATTTATTGTTTTATTTATGTAGGAATTTGTGTATTTATTTATTTATAGTTTTATTTATGCAGGAATTTGTGTATTTATTCATTTAGTTCTTTGCATATTTATTTATTGTCTTATTGATGCAAGAATACGTAGATTTATATATACATTTATTTATTTATTTGCGTATTTATTTATTAAATACATATTTTGGGAAAATGCTTTTGATATTTTTCAATAATTCAGCAATACACTCTGGGCAAATTTACTACCCTTTCGTCATGTTTGTTGCTATTTTTGATGATCTTATAATTGCAAAGCCCCTATATAATAATGAATTATCGATTGATGCTGGTTTACCCTGTTGGTAAGAGGTAAAATTTGTCATTTTTAATGTTGTTCATCAGTTTCAGTGCAAAAAAAAAAGTGTGTGTGTGTGTGTGTGTGTGTGAGACCCTTGTGCATATACCTTGATATGTCTGAGAAAGTCTAAATAAGCAGCTCAGCTCTCAGAACATAGTAAACACAGTAAGTGTACTTAAGCACACACACTATAATCTGCTGTTTTACCTCATAGAACTCCATATCAAAGCCAGAAACGTTTTTGCACAGGCCCATCTAAAGGGTAAATGCTGCCAACTTGTGTTCAACAGTAAAAATTACATATTTCCATAACTTCCATAACAGGGAAGAATCAAGAATGCATGATTGTTTGGTGTCATTGAAGGCATTGATTGCCTTGGAATAAAAAAAACAATGTCATTATGATGGAAGTCAATGGGGCAAAAACTGAAAACAATTGTTACCCTTAAACAAAATTATTGTAAGGTCAAACCAGTTAGTCCAACGATGTTGTCAACTGGTGGATGAAGGTTTGCTGCATGTTTGGTAGTTCCAGTGCACAATGTTCATTTACTTAAAATTTAACTCATATCTGACTCAGTTTTAGTATGAGGTGGTCTAGAACATGAATGTATTCATCCTTGTTTTATCTGACTCTAAAACATTGATAAGATTATTTTGTTACTTTTAATACTATAGATTATGATTGAATATTCCCTTAGATTCGTTATTGTATATTATTCTCGTTCATTTGTTGACTTCTAAGTAGTCACACCAAGAAACTACTCGGCGTTTGCATTTAGTGGCATGTTAGATCTGAAGAGTTTCTGCCTATAGGGAACAAATGGTCATTTGACTAGAAGCCCCTAAGTAAAGGCACACCCCTAGCAGTGGTTCAAAAGATACCTGAAGTTATATATCTATTATTATGTATAATTCTGACGGAATGAGACCATTGTACTAGTCGCACTGAGACATTTTAAATGATATCAAACATGATCTATATATAGATACAGAACCTTCATACTTTGAAATGACCATTCTGTGTGAGAACATATAAAGAGAGGGTGACTGAACTGAGGGGGTTGCGGGGATGCTTCAAATGTTAATGAAGGAAAGAAGAAGAGTTGGGGTTCCCACATTCCCACCTGGTGAGGTGTGGAGCCGATTGTCTGTTTCCAGCTCATGTTTGAATTGTCAAAGACATCAAAGTATTTGTGGCATCTCAAATCTTACATTGCGAATTTCAAAGTTATTAATGTAGTGGGATTTACATGATCAGTTCAGCACATGCTTGCATATGCACACTAAAGGAAAGCATATCAAAGCATTGAATGGCCTTTATAATACTTTTAGAAACAAAAGATTTACACATGCATGCTTTTAATTACAGTAAAGGCCTAGGTGTTAGACTTTAACTGAATTTGCCCTGTTGACATTTAGAGACAGTGATTCTTTCCTTTTCTTTTAGATCATGGCTGCCCCTGGTGTACTTGCCCTTTTTGCGTCACAAAAGAAAAACCCTTATTTGGTAATTATTCATCTGATTCATCATATTTTGCCTCCTTTTTTGTTGATATTAACAGACACTTACTAATTCCTCCAGGTAAACGTGATGATCGTGTCCTCCGTGGTGTCGCTTTTTGCTGTTGTGATCGTCTTCGTTTACGCCTGCGTCACTCTCAGCTATGGAGAGGAGGATGATGAGATCTTCCACGCCCATCCGGTTCCTGAAGTGGTACAGTTCGAACACTGGATCATCTGTTATATGCTCACTGTAACAGAGAAAAATTAATCAAGCTGTGTCCTGTGCAGAGGTTTGTCCTGAGCCGGATGGTGAAAGGAGCAAACTGCACCCTCCTGGTGGCCTGCACAGGATCTCTGCTCTTTTCTTCTCTTATTGCGTACATCGGATGCCGCAGCTTGCCGCTTTGTGGCTGTTATGACTCTGCAAATGGCATGGTGAGTAACAAATGAGTCGTTTGTAACACAAGTATCCTGCAGTGTGAAATGCAGTAATGGGGTGTTTTCACGATGCATCATCAGCTGGCCATATTGGAGCGCAGAATGTAAACAATACCACTGAAACTGAATG